TTTCCAACTGGTTTTCGTCTCGTTACATAATGGTTCTACAGAGACGATATGTAAGTTCGGTTCTACAGATTCTAATACGTGCATATTTATAACCAGCCACAATCTCTCTAATAGACCCCTAAATTATTTATCCTCGAGTTCTAGCCAGGATAGGATGACAAAGTATGAAATGTCCATCCACATGCAAAAGGCAATTACATTATTTGACGTGCCTGACTATTTGTGACATCGTTTAAAAAAATTAAAGTCGCAATAATACGTGGGCAACTTAATAAATATAGCTGTTTTATTTTTATTGTTTAAACTAGATTAAGCTATGGCAATCCATTTTGTGGTTATTAAACGTAGTGCATCGTAAATTAATGCTCCATTTTAAATCTCAGTTATTTTCTTTTGTTGGAGCACAGGGTTATTGTAATTGGGGGATTGCTTAGAAAACTACATAGTTTGATGCTAACATAACATGCATTGTGTATGTTATTTCAGCATGTTTGACATTTTCAAAGAATTTTCAAAAAATCCAAATATTGAGAATTAACACATACTAACAGTTTGGCACTACTAGGTAAATAGTAATTTCTACCATCGCTCAATATTAATCTATATTGTTGCTTAAATTCTGATGGTGTAATTTCGCATAGTTTGTTCTTTTAAAACAACACAATAAAAATGACCACACTAATGCCTGATTCAAGACTTTTGCTCATTTGCTTATCATCACTCCAATTTTATATAACTTATATAAATCGATAATTTAAATTACATTTGGTATACAATAGGCATGATGTATGTACATATGTACAAGGATAACAATACATCAATCTTCCTTTCTGTATCTCATATACATACCTACTTAATGGTTTCGCACTACTTATTGAATATCCCTCGTAATCGCTAAAATTAACATAAACCCATATCGGCATTTCCAGGTTAAATATTTGCGGCACTCTTAATATAGTCCATCACTTTCTTCGCCCACGTTCTACTTTCAATTTGAACTGTTTTACATGAATATCTATCGCATCAACCTGACTTGATTCACACCGTATGTATTTCTATGTGCTTAAATATAAACTGTAAATTAGCGTACCCCCGGCGCTACGCGCCTACCATAATAGTTTCTATACACATTTTTTTTTCAAAATAACGATTAGTGATTCTACTGACTTTTGAGAATTTGAGTGGGTGTGGTGTGCGCGATTAGGGTCACGGAGTCAAAACACTCAAAAACAAAAAAAAATCATGAAACCTTACTGGTGACCTTATTCCCTAAAGTCACCAGTAAGGAATAGTAAGGTATAATAAGGTATCGTTTATCACGTCTCCCCAAGGCATGGGGCGGAGTGATAAACTATTTATTATATTTATTATAAGCCACTAAATAGTTTCTAAAGGACCCTAAGTGGCAACGCATGTCGGTGGGGCGTCAAATTGACCCGCTACAAAAGCAGTACATGTTGCCCAAGCAATGTATTGATACAGCGACAAATTTACCCCACTCCATATTGACCCAGCCATAGATTGACCGATGTATGTACCACTACTGAAATTTTTGTTTTGCCAGACACACCCTTGGTCAGTTGCACCCACTATGGTCACCCACTATGGTCCCCCTGGTTGAATTTTATGGACATTTAACTTCATATTCTTTCATAAAGTCTAATAATGCCTCTTTGTCCCAAGTTTCAACTTTCTAAGACCATTTGTGAAAATCGGTGGGAGTCACCCCCTTTGGGTCCATCAGGGCCAAAGATTTTTAAGTTTCACTTTATATTCCGAGTTTATACCTCCATTTGGGGCCATTGTGCCGAATGTCAGCCTTCTCCGATTTTCTACTTCGAATATCCTGCACGAAACCCTCGATCCACAACACTAATATGACCCCCGCCGGCCCAAATCTTTTTTAATAGAACCCATTTCCGAACTCGGTCATTGCATTCCCCAGGTACATGGTTGTACCAAATTTTGTCAAAATCGGTCTACGCGTTCGACAGTTATCGAAAAACAGACAGATAGACGGACATGACGATTGTATAAGCCCTGTTTCGGCCCAAAAAGGCACAATTTGAAGCTTAGGCGAGACTCACACTAATTACTTATTTTCGTGAGTACGCCCATAGTATTTGTTGTGGTACAGTATTTTGTAGTATTGTTGTGGTATGTGATGTTAGTGGTAATATCTTTTGATCACAAAAATTGATAGGGAAGCTTTTTCATTTTTCAGCAAAAGTGAAGGATGTAAAAGTGTCGATCCAGCTTTCAATATTTTGCTTTCTTAATCTTATTTCCCACATCCCACGCTTGTCTGATATTTCGGACATAAATTTCTCTTCCGCCTCTGCTACGCTTATCTGGATTTTCCTGCTTCATTTCTTCGCCACGCTTATCTGGTCCTTTGTACTTGATTTCTTCTCGGCCACGGTTATATACTGGAGAGCGATATAAATTATACGGGGTACTTCCCAAAATTTAAATGCGAGTAACTTCGCATAGGTCAGAAGTGGTCATGGTGGTTTCTAGAAAGTTATATTTTAGGATTCCGCATATTTTGGTGTAAATTTTATTTGGTTATATTGAATTTTGGGAGTAAAATTCAAGCTGTAAATGCATAGATTAAATACATACTGCTCGGAGGATTTCATTCTGGTCGAATTATTGTTAGGGAATTGATTTGCCGATTGAGTTTTTGGTAAAACCCAGTAAACCTTTAGTAAAACCCCAACAAAACCTCAATAACATAGTAAAACCTCAGGGGTTTTCGTGATTTGAAACCCAGTAAAACCAAAAACCACAGCCCAGTAAAACCCTTGGGCCGGATTACCCTGGTTCGGCATGAGGCAAGTCATACTGTTCTTATCTAATTTCGTAGGTTTCATGCATATAAACACATTTCAGGCTTTGTTTCAAATATTTTCATGCTTCTACTATTTTCTCGAAAATGTACATAGCTTGTCAATTTGATTAGAAAACATATTTATAAAATAATTCCCATAAAATAGGCATATTTTTATGTTCTTCGTACATATCCTTCCTTAAGTATAAAGTGCATATTTCCTCAATTTTCGTACATACATAATCGCCTTTGACAAATTCGGTTTTGGAATATGTTAATTTTTGAAGTGATGGCACGACTAATCCTTGCCCAAGTTTGAAACGTGTTTTTGTAAAACTGCACTACTCGATTGGCTTTCTTGCCGTCCCATCCGTTAAGTTACCAATCATTTCGACATAAAACTCTGTCCCATCTATACTAATTTGGAAAAGCAGTGTGGGTTACCCGATTGGCCTCCTCTAATAAAAATATTCCTGAAGTACAAATACCCGTCACGCTTTCACGAAATTTCACACTTTTCCGACCATCTTCAAAAAATGGGTGTGGGTGACCCGATAGGGTACCTCTACATAAAATTTTCTAAAATTTCCTTATCAGATTCTTTCGATATGAGCCATTTGCACAATGTATGCAAAATTTCAGCTTTCTACGACCATTTCGAAAAAACCGGTATGGGTGACCCGATAGGGTGCCTCTACATGAAAATTTTTCAAATTTCTAGTAAGAATCTCTCATTTTCTGCCATTAGCGACATGTATGCCAAATTTCATGCCTCTAGCACTATTTTGAAATTTTGATGCAGAATACCAATACCCCCACCACCTATACTACCCCCACTGGTCAACCAGTCCACCGATTTTGCTCATCTACGAACTTAACCTGTATTTTCATAACATACATACTTGGTTAAAATTTGAACTCGATCGGTTCAGCCGTTTTGGCTCTATCGTGTCCCAGACGGACGGACAGACATGACAGTTCCATAAGCCCGGGCTAAAATTGCTAAAAGACATATTGAGAGTCTTATGATGAGACTTAAAGTTAAAAAATATTTATCAAAAAGTCACTACAAACGGCCATTCAAATTTTTGGGCTTTTCACATATATCTTTAGGTTTTAATAAATATTTTGGCATTTTTTTGTAAATAATAAATACATATTTCCTAAATTTTTCATGCATGCAAATATGCCTTTTGGTAATGATACTTGGGTACGCGAGTGGGTTGAGACAAAGTGAAAGCGATGTTAATGCATGCAAGCAATGCAGTGTTGCCGGTGGAGTGAGCTGTGCAGCGTTGGCTGACCCGGGCCAAGGCTCGCTCGTGAGTGAGTGAATGGGAACTTGGCAACGTTGAGGTCAAACCCGGACGATGGAATGCAAATTAATAGTATGATGCCCAGTATGTACATACATATGTTTATGTGTTTTAGTTCCGAGAGGATTTATTTCTGTGCAACTGCCATCACACCCATCGCCTCAAACTTTGTGGCCCACCCTTCAGTGGCGCCATGTCTCGGAGACTTATGCTGGCTTGTTTTTTCGAACAGAAGGTGGACAGGCGGCGGAATTTGGAATGCTACAGGAAGAAAGTAGTAATCACCTGAGTAACGTACGGTATCAAAATGGATTTCCAGCAGCTTTACCAATGAACATTACGATTCCGATGCATGGATCGTCGGACTTTGTTAGGACAGGATTCTATGACACACAGGTGACCAGGGAGGGTTTAAGCTTTGAAAATGCAGGGCTTGAAACGCGTCCGATAAATAAGGCTGTACGAATATGGGAACGGATGTAAATTGCATGCATATTTGTCTTTTAGCGGAATTTACGCTAAAACATGATAAATAATTTGTTTAAAGTAATCACAATTTATTGATAGACTTGCATAAAATTTGGTAAACTTAAACTTCACTTTATAACTATGTATACACCACAATGTAAATAAATACAAGAAGCAATGGAAAGCTGGTAAAAGAGGCGGGTTTTATTTTGCACCGGAATTGCTCTCTGTAGGTAGATAATCTAATTGTGAGATTATTTAAGAAGCCTTCAAGAAACGGAGATACGCCTTGACGACATGAATCCCCTCATAATGTTCTATGCTGTTTTGCGTAAATGTGGGTAATAGAATCTTGTAAAATATTAATACATAAATAATCCGAATGAGAAATAAATATCTATATGTTTATTTGTTTTCATGTATCATTTTTACCTCCATTATGTTAATTTATGTAGAAGTAGGGCTCATTTGTTGTATACAATATCATGTAAACTTTACTGCGCACTGTTTGTCAAATTTTTGCGACAATTAAGATTTACAGGGATAATAATCCAGATCTTAGAAAGACGTATCTAAATATAATTGATTATATATGCATATATATATTGAGCGTACTCACGTCAACGTTCCCATATCTCTCATCTCTCTTAAATTGAGCATAGCAATATAACTTGCGAAGTTCTGTGAGATTTCGCAAAAATTTTGATGAAAAATAATGGGATTTTAGTTCGCAAATTTACCCAGCATCTCACCATGTGCTTATTTCGCAAACATCTCTTCTCCGTCACAGACGAGAAAAATTACAGAAATCCATGGAAAAATATTTACAAATCTGTGCCTTACAGTTTTGCGAACTCATATTTTGCGAAGCCCCTCAAGATACAATTTCTTTGAGTTTCGCAAATTTGCTAAATTAGTTACGATGCGAAATAAGCTGTCGTGAGTACGGTACTTATTGACTAAATTTATTTATACATATATATGGTTTACTGCAAAAAAATATAAACATGTTAATGGGAACATGCTTAAATATGTACATAAAATTATTTGCATACTCATATTTATTTAATCGTCAATGATGCGTCCGCGTAACGTAGCTCACAAGCCGTCTACAGACGAAATTATCGTCCATTTATATATTTATATGAGAAGAGCTACGGATCATTACATAGATTGTGTAATTAGTCACCTTGGTCACTGCGAAATTATCCTACACCATGCGACACATGGCTATAGAAACGTTTCAAAATCCAAAACAAGACCGCTCCTCCCGCCGAAGTGCCCATCTCGATAAAAACTCCTGTATGTTGTGTATACATACTTATGCAACCATCAAATTTAAATTAATAAATTTGACGGTATTAAATTTGACTGGACGATAACAAATACCATATTTATTGGCGTACCCGTGATAAATACGTCCTCACAGACCATCGGAGGTGGGGTTGTCGTGGTGACGAGGGACATGCCCCAACGTCTCAATTCTTCTCGGAAAAAAATCCAGGGGGTGGATCGAACGCCGAGGAACACGCCGCAGAACCGTCTTGCCTTATCGCCCAACTCCCTCCAATAGGCTCCACACAATCAATACAGCTCGCGGCTTCTAATACTAACATCTGCAAAGACACAAAGAGTACCAATCTTGATAATGGGGTGATGCTATTTGTGTTTTAAGAACGAATTCTATTTACGAAACTGGATGGATAGCAAGTTATAAATAAGTAGCTTGTCAAAAATATTTATCTACAGATGTAAATATTTAATCACCATGAAATTTATTTGAAGTCTAAACCCATACATACAAACATGGTAAAGTTATAAAGATACATGGATCTTTCGAGAGCTGTGTATGCTACAAGCAAAAAAAACAATTTCAAGACTTTGCTTTTATTAAAATAACCCAGTGGTCAACTTGGAAGTTTGAACTATGTAAGTTACAAAGTTGGCTCAAGCTCTTTATTACTGACGGGAAATTATCATTTAGATTTGTTCATATTCTTCATCGAGGAAACAATATGTTTGTCTCGTAGTAAGCGAAATACAGGAAGCGCAACAGGAAACCCATAATCTTCCTTTTTAGAAGATAACCTTTAAAAATGAACTTGTAAAACTGAACTTTGTAAAATTGTACTTAACCATTTGGAACATTATTTGGCATAGGCCATAAGTGCATACATTACACTTTGACCTCGAATATCGGTGTTGGGGGTGAAGATATCGAAAATGATTATTTATGAAATAGGTTTCTAAAATGTTTTCTAAATTCTGGCCAAGTTTGGCATTTTTGCAAAACTGAAATGTTTGGCTCCATGGCCAATTGGCTCATGGCCAATTCAGTCAGAACTTGCTCATCTTTCAAACTGTCTATTAATTTGTAGATTGTGGGATGATGAGCCCCAAGAACAGACGCAAATCCGTTGTGGAATCCCTCACAGGCGTTGTTGGTTTTCGGGAGATCTTCCAGCACAGAATGGAAACAATTCCACAGAGAGATGTCGTTAGATATTATTGTTGCCGGCATTTCGGCATTGACTGGGTAGGGAATGGTGGAGAGGGAATGATGGGGAGGGAATTGTCTCGGGTAGGGAATGATGGAGAGGGAATCATGAGGGTAGGGATATGCACCGGGTAGGGAATGATGGGTAGCGAATGATGGGCAGGGTTTTTCCGCAAATCATTCCTGTTGATACATTTATGCAGTAAATATCTATGAAGCTGTTAATTTTAACTGCCGGATAACAAATGCATATTTATAAAATGATAAATTTTGGGATAATATCAACGTACCAGTGAAAAATCCGTCGTCACATTCCAACGGCGGTGGGCTTGTTGGCGTCATCACGAGGGACGAGCAGCCAACCAATGTCGAAATTATTATTCGAAAAAATTCGGCAGGTGGATCGAACGCGGAGAAACAATTCGATGAACCATCCGTCCGTATCGACCAAAAACCTCCAGCATTTTGCACACAATCCTGGCATGTCGCTGCTTCTAGTACCGGCATCTGCAAAAATATTGGGAAAATTATGTTTGATAATGATATGATGTAATTCGTGTCGTAAGATTTTTTTATTTCCCTATAAGAAACGTATTGTATATTTACCCACCATGGGATTTAGTTGGGATCTGGTAAATGTAAAGTAATGTTACACAGACTGAGATGTAAGGAAGTATGCTACAAATAATTGGCCAACTTGACACTTGCAAGCCGGAACTATGTATTTAAGTAACAAGTTTGTCTTCACGTTCTTTATTGGTGATGAGAAATTATTATTTTACATATGTGTATGTACATATGTAAGTACGTATGTATGTATGCATACATGAATGTATGTATTTACGTAAATATGTACATTCACACTTCATGGACGAAGAAATACATTTTTTTTCCCTGGCAAAGAAAAATATGTAAACGAGCACAGACAGGAAATCTGTAATCTTAGTTTTTTAGAGATGATACATACATACATAAGTGCACAGATGGGACATAACTGGAGCACAAGTGCATATTTGTATGCTTACACATGTTGCATATGCACACATTCCCCTTTGTACACGTACTTGTACATACATTTATACATACATATGCACATATGTTCATATACAATTAGACAAGAATTGGCCATCGTTTGATCACATTGCTTGCATGTGTATGTAAATGTCAAACAGATTATTTGCGTATTTAAATTAGTACGCAAGTAAGTCCGTCTAGCGTTTGGGTGCTTTATGTACATACACAAGATGAATATTACTACACATGTACATATACAGACACAATATTAGGTAGTCATAATCATAATAAGTAGAATTAAAGTAACTTACTTAAAGAAATATGGACTGTGTTATACTTAAATATATGTATGGGTGGGTGGGTATAATTAAGTTATTATAATAGTAGTCATTTTGGCAATTGGCAAGCAACGTTGGTGCAGTATCTATGTATGTATGTCCTTATTGGTCAAAATTCTCCCGCATTAACATGCATGTGTACATACATTTTCACATATTTACTTATATCCAGATATACATTTTTGTGCTTGTCGAATGTTTGAAGTAAAATTATGCAAATCTGAGTTTACACAAGGAAATATTTATGTGCTTGAATTTTTTATTTCCAATTTGTTAATTTGCAAAAAACTTAATTTTAACATGTTCAAATTATGATTAACATCTTGCTATTTTTACTTGTAGTTTTAAAGAGTAAACCGTCAGTTGTATTGTGCCGTTCCTAATATTTAGAGACTTCCTGAAGTTGGGGCTTATACACTTCAACGTCCAGTTCCGACAGGCCATGTGGTCCTACTGCCCGGGGTTGTGATGTCTACCCCATCATAGCCACCCCCAATAGGCGAAGTTGTTCTACCACCATCTCCAGAATAGTCGTCACAACAAGGCACACCTCCGTTAATAGGTGACCTCGCATTGTAGCAAAAGTCGCAAGATTCCTTCTCTTGTACCCAAATTAGCCTCCGGTTTCCCGCCGCTGGTCGAGAATCGTATGGACACTGGACAATCCGCACGTCCCCTTGTCCAGCCCCTTCGGGATGATACTTGTACGTACTGGCGCAGTCCCCGGTCGGTTCGAAATAACAGGGCGAGGGCGAGAGACACGAAGCATCGGATCGATACAGGTTTTGTGTCCCGGCATCGAGGTTATCCCACAAGTCGCAACTTCCGGTGCAAGGGGATGACGCATTACTCCCGGTCCGACTGGATAGCACGTGACCGGACAATGGATTCCAAAAGAGTCCTGGAGAACATTCCTCGTTATCCCATGCTCTGAAATTTGGGTTGCAAAACGTGTACGTGCGACAATGTCCGACTCGAATGCAGGAGGATGTGTCACATTTGCCCCGTAGGTGTGGTCGCTACTTGATGGAGAAGTTGTGGAAGGCGCGGACGTCGTCGTCACGGTCACTGGAGGAACAATGTTTGCCTGATCCACTCTAAAAATCCATTTCCCTTCTTGGTTGACATTGCTGGAATCCGGGACGCCTACGACGTCCGAAGTGCATGATCCCGGCAGCGAGTAAAAGTTTGTGCCATCGCCCGTGTCGAAACCGGCCTTTGCTGGGACACCTCCTAATCCTTGACAGTCACCACGTGACGCGGTTCCAGTCGTCCACATGATCTCGTTATAGTAGAACATTGCGAACGACATGGTCCCATCTGTTACCAGGATGGCTTGGAAGGTGTTTTTGATATTTGGGGAGGAGCAGTTCCCAGAATTTGCACCGAAGAATGGAACCTTATCCCAGGTCGCCATGAACATCCAGTTAAGGTTCAGATTTGTTAGTCCTGGGAAGGCCCGTTGGACTTCTTGCTTCGCTTTGGCTAGATCAGAAGCATCCCGAGATTCGCGGTAGAAGACGGATCCCCCATAAAACCGAGTGTCAACGTCGGCCCAATATGGGACGATCATGGGTGTGGTGAGGGGTCCACAATTCGGGGTGTAGGTAGCAACACCTAGAAAATTGTAGAATAAATTGTAATTGTTTGCATATTTCAGTGGGTGTAATTAGGACGCCATAAAAGTAAAGTATTACCATTGTTGAACGAAATTCCTCCATTGTTGTTCACAAAGAGGCGAGTGTACGGTGTCCCAAAAAAATTGTATCTGCTTCCCCCAGAAATGTCGAATTGGTCAAAGTTATCGTCTGCGATGGGAACCTGGGCGTCGCGGTTGTTGGGTCCGTATGGGAAAAAGAGTTGGGTTGGGACGTAGCAGAATACTGCTTGGAGGAGGAGGACACCTCCGATTAAAAGCTGAGATAGTTGAGCCATGTCTAAAATTTTGGTTGGATTGAACTGATTTGTAATGCATTTAGGGAACCTTTTATACCCAGACCATGCCGGATGCCGGGTGGAAGGTGGACCATGAAAAATAGTACCAATCTGGTTGACTGCAAGGCACAATGGACAAGCAAATTCACCTGCATCCCGTTTGTTGAGTTTGTGGTGTTGACTTTATTGTTGACTATTTTACTCGGGGTTTGAATTATAAAGACATTGACATTTCGGTTAAGAGGTACCATACATACATATTTACATATGTACGTAATTACAATATTGCGTTAGCTGAATATTTGATCACATGGCATCTACCTGTAGTTGGTGATTTGTCCATTCAATTTTTAGTTAATTTAAGTAGGTACTCAATTAGATACTAGGTAAGTACTTGAATTTTATTTCAATTGGATTAGTGTAATGAGTACGTTACAAAACCAAGTTAATAGTTAAACAAGTTAATATTTACATAGTCGGTGAATGTGTTAATTTCCAATTTATACTGTTAATACATAGTATATTTCCTATTTAAGTGAGTATAGTGCACGTACATAATGTAAGCTTGCACATTTGTGTAAGTGCATATTAAGTATACTATGCTAGCCTTTTTGCGTAGTAAATACATACACTCACTCATGCATATGTACATACATACGTATGGCACAACTGCATGTGTATTATATGCATATGTTGGTGCATGTGCCAAATAATTTTTCTGCCTAATGCCCTTCTCCTTCAATTCTTTCACAATTTTCACTTAAACGATGTTATCATCTCCCCGATATTTACATAGCTTCAGTTACGTTATCTATACATAATTATGCAAAAATAAGAACTCAATAAGTAGCGCCTTCATTTTGCTCTCAACCCCAAAATGCATAAAATTTTAGTATTTATCCGAAAGCTATGTCGTCACCACCGTTTTTACCGAGTAATCTTGTAAATTGATTTTATTGCTGTGTAAGCGTCTCGTATGGTATCCATAGTCCAATATGCTTAAATTATCTCGAAACCTGACTAAAGACCTGCAAATCTTAAACCTTCTAAGGAATAAGTATATGCATTTGCATATGAATACATGTGTACATATGGATGATGCATATAGTAAACAGTAAATATATGTATGCAACTTTTGCCCAAATGGATAGCAAAACACAATGTAATCGACTTGTTACAGAATTTCACCATCGTAATGATCAGTATCGTAAAGATGAAGTTGTGAAATAAATGTTATCATTTTTGCAATGTTCCCTTTTCTAATACCCCAAATAATTTGAGCGGACGAGAAGATAACCCTTGCCATACATACTCCAAATCTCCATTCAACGAAGAATGATTGATAAGATTTATCTCTTATGATGATCACTTTGTTAAATAATAACATATAATTATGGTACAAAGTACCTTACTTAAAATGACCAGATTCAAGCTTATAAATCCATGGATGTCAGCCCTGATTGCAAACGTGTATGTACAACCGTTGTACTACAACGTGTACATTTATACATCAGATATAAAAGACGAAAACAATTTGAATTATTTCACATTGCTGTCCAAGTCCAGTTGTAAACCAGATCTGCTATGAAGTTGCTCCTCGTTCTGGTTGCTACTTTGGCAGTAGCTTGTGCAGGCATCGTTGACTCATCGCTACAGGTCGCCGTGGAGAATGGGGAAACAGTCGCCATCCTCGAGCTGCCACAAATGATGGGGCAAGTCGAAACTAACCAAGCCCTCCAGGCTCTTGCAGGTGACGCAAAGGTGTCTGCCCTCGTCTCCGCCTTGAAAGTTCTTACTTCTTCTATGCAGGCGCCCTTTATCTCAATCGCATCTTCCCTTGGCCTTAAAACCGAGCAGTTCTGGGCGTCTAATATCATTCTTATTAAGGGGTTGACGCCTGAAAAATTGGCCTCTCTCGCCGCTAAAAGTGGAGATTTTATTATCCGCAAGTCATACACTGTCAGCATTCTCCCAGCCGATGAGAATATCACCTTGAATATTGAATCCAATAACGTCACCCAAAACCTGCCACAATGGGGAGTTGCTAAAATCCGTGCCCCAGCCGTGTGGCCGACAACCACCGGAGAGGGGGTTGTAGTCGCAATTATTGACACCGGGGTCAATCATGGACACGAAGCGCTAAACGCAGGTTACGCTGGTGCATGGATGGACCCCATAAATAACACTGCTCTACCCACTGACATCAATGGGCATGGATCCCATTGCGCGGGAACAATCGTTGGGCGTACAAATGGTATCGGCGTCGCCCCGGGAGCACGATGGATCGCATGTCGAGGCCTGGACCACAATGGAAACGGACAAGAGCACATTTTAACCCAATGTGCGCAATTCATGTTAACCGCCAATCCTCGTCCCCATGTCGTCTCACACTCGTGGGGCGGTGGAAGTGGGGTAACCTGGTACAATTCACAAATCTTGGCGATGAGAAGCGCGGGAATAATACCAGTTTTTGCCAATGGAAACTTTGGACCTACCTGCCCATCTTCTACCTCACCGGGAGATCAGCCCAATTTGATCTCCGTCGGAGCCACAACAGACACTGATGCAATTGCCACTTTCTCTTCACGAGGACCAAACCCTAATGGAGTTCTCAAGCCCGAGCTATCTGCTCCAGGCAGCAACACGCTTTCCTGTGGGACAGGAGTAAATGACTATGTCACTCTTTCGGGAACTTCAATGGCATGTTTTTGAATTTTGCTCACACCTAATAAATGGCATGCCATTTTACCATTTCACAATATGGTAATGTAATTATTTAATAGGCTTGTCCACACGTGGCTGGAGCTATTGCTCTGCTCCTTTCTGTCAACCCAAGTTGGACATATGACGATGTTTTCAACGCTCTCAGTACCTCCGCCGTACACCCAGAGCTTTCCAGCGAAGACAGAATTTGTGGCCTTCCAGAATCCGGTGACTTCCCCAATCAGGCTTTTGGTCATGGGCGGATCGACATTGCTGCCGCCCTTGGACTTTAATCTTTTTTTTAAATTATCTCGCAATTAATTAAGTCACAATTTATTAATGTTAATTATATATTCCTCTCTAAAAAAGTTTACAGATCGATTGATAATATATGTAAATGTATTTACATTTATCAAACATTCCATAATTAAGTAATAGGTTTTATGATACACAAAAATATTAAAGCCTCACGTTGTTTCACAATTTCAAGTTTTCGTAAAAAAAACATGCATAAAAGTTGAGATAAACAAGCGTTTTGAAAGCAATACAGTGCGTGTCACCATGAAAAACTGAACAAATTGATCGATTTTTGACTTTTGATTTGCTTTGTAACTTAAACAAACTAATACTGTTTGGGATAGATCGACACGCAATATAATTAAATATGAATGGGAAGTAATTATATCATGACCACTTTTATTTATGCATATGCAGTATGAAATTATGTATGTACATATCAATACTTTGCTAGCAGCAAGTTGCTGTCATATTTGCATACCGTATTAAACGAAAAATTTTCGCTCAATTTTCCAAAATTTAAAAGTTTGTGTTGATATGATTTTTTAAGATTTGCATCATGAATTCTCCAAATGAGCCGGTTGCTCCCTCCAACCATGCCAGTAAAAGTTAGCGTGATGAGTTAAAGATGTCATAAATTTGATTTATGTAAATGAGCTACCAATTTGACATGTTTCCTGTCATGTTAAACATTTACGACGTACAATATTTATACGATTGACCTCAAAATTCTACAAAATTGATGTCATACTTTATGCAGGTTCCCTGCCCTGCTATATTGTTGTCTTCCTTGTTATGAATTTTATCGTTTATTTATTAAACAAACCATACATAAAACACTTCATTATCTGAATCCAGGTCAAATTATTTGCTTCCAGAGAGTCGTACGTGAATCGAAATGTGAAGAATACATTTCTTATTCGGTATCGAAATTCGGTTAGTTATCAGTCAATTTTAATAATTTTTTAGACCCATGACTAAATTTTTTATTGTGAGAATATGTAACCAAATTGCAGAAATAAGTAGAATTTGATCCGTAATCTGGAAAGAATATTGGATTGAGGCTGACGTGGAGGTGACAACGTGTCACCTGCATAAACCTGACAACTGTGTAGATGACGTGGTGGAGGTTGTGTAAGTTTTTATTTTACAGAATGAACATATTTACGGCTGCAATATTTGCTACATCAAGTAGCCTACATGTATATGCATTGAATATTTTCCGATACATTAAATAAAAATATGTAATTTTGTATGTCCATTGGTAAAGATATGCTTGATATAGCAGGCGAAATCCATTTTTTTAGAAAAAATCACGTTATTTTTTAGACAAAAGTTATGTTTCAGTTAATAAAAATGATATAAATTCATGTCTTCCAAATAAATCCTGGGAATTTTGACTTGGGTCAAACACTTCATATTTTTGGCATGTAAAATAATATTTTTAAGACTGATGAATAAATAAAGGACAGATTTTTGATTGAGACATGAATTTCTAACCATGCCCGATCAACCATAATGACGGTGTTTGTTTGTTAATTTTTTATTGGTATCGTTTATGCACAGTAATTGAGGGGAGGTGTGACGAGGTACCATCGCCACTTCCGAGGACGTATCCATTAATTCCTCAAATAAAATTTTTAAAATTTGAAGAAATAATTAAAGTAAGAAATAATTAAATTAGTGTATAAGTTAGCTAAAGTTACCCTTGATTAATCAAATTTTACTTCGGGCGTAGAAAACAATGAATATCTCTTCATCGGAAATTAACGAGTAAAACGCGAAGGAAGATTTCTGTGAAAGGAATGAAAAATTCTGCAAAAGAGGTAAAATAAAGCAATAATTCTTTACAAACTTCTGTGTCACCTTTGTATTAAAAAATTCGTTCATATATAAATAAATATATGTAATAACTATGTAATATAGATTCCTGGACAACATTGCAAGTATGGGATTCTATAAAAATCCTTCCACCCTGGCCCGAATGACCTACCGACCAAACAACATTCGCTATCCCCTCACTCCATCTTATATTCCAGTGCCACCTCGTGGAGTCAAGACCAAGTTAAGAGGCAGATTTTAATTAGAGTTTGAAGATTATTTAGATACGTGTGTTGCCAAATTTTAACCAGGAAGCTGCAAAATAATGTGCGGTACCATATAATTTTAATAATTCACACTTAAATCTTAACCAAAGCCATAGCAATTTTTTCTTGCCGTGGCACAAGTTAAGATGCAAACTTTAATTAGAGTTTGAAGATAAGATATGTATTTATTTGAGACGTATTAACCGGGAAGCTGCAAAAATCAAAATGTGCGATATTGTATAATTTAAATGATCCACACAGAAATCCTGCCTTTGGAAAAATTTGTTGCTGTTTTACGCAACACATTTATCTCCTATTTCAAAGCACTACCAAGTTGATCCCTCTTTAGTTGGGTTGCTTTGAACCTGCCTTGGTAAGTGGTTTACTGCCATAAATATGTGCAAACAGTAAATCTTATTTGCTTGAGAAATTGAACTTGTACATTGGATCTAGTTTTAAGTAATAGACGACAAATGGTTATTCTCGTAATCCTTTTTTTTCGATTAATTCGGTAACAATATAATAATCTATCGCAAACTTGCAATAGTTCTTTGATAGGTTAAAATCTGTGGTTACGTTTTGAGTGAGTTTCACTATTATATTTATTTATTATCATAAAGGGGTATGCTCTTCATCAATTGATAACTATTTGTGTATGGTCAAACCTCTTGACGTAAGATTTGGTAGGATATTGGCAGGGAATATGACCCTTCCAAGTTTCACGTAGCCCTGTAAACTCATTTTTAAGGTCAGTGACCTGAGTTAAATTATTACATATTTACATTTAGGATATTAAGATGAGGTGGGTACTTGTTGGTTAACTAACTTGTTGGTTAACTAACTTGCCATTATTAAAAAAATTGGTACGATTTTTAGTGCTGGTTGGGTTATGTGTCAAAGTTAATTGAATCAGTAAACTGGGATAGTTTATTTTTAATTTTCGTCCATGACAAGGAAAAATGGACGAAATGAAAAAATACACTTCCAGAACTTTACTCGCTTGTAAGGCTAATTTTAATTAAAGTATTATTTCTTAATAATTTTCATCTTCAAGTGATTCAACTTCCATTAGAGAAAGATGCATTTGGGAATATTAGCGAGTGGGGTAGAGAATCGCTGCAAGTTTTAGTAGGGACTAGGGATGTCACAAATAAAAAAACGTGAAACATAAATGTGTAGCCATATAAACTAAGAGCTTTTTCAGCACATACATATAAAGCCAAGAGGAAGTCAATAAGTTAAGTCTTACGATGCGAAAATTTATATAGTTCTCGGAACGAATAAGTAGAAAGAGAAGAAAACGGCTGTTCTTCCACATTCTTTGCTTCGATAAAAATGTGTGCAGTCAATTTCACCTGCCATGTTTGTATTTTGGCATGGCGACTAAAAACAGACATGATTTGAACTGCTTCAGTTTAAACAGTTGGTGAAAGTTGCCTGGAATTCTCTTTGATAAGATTTCCCCAAGTGCACCTATCAAATGTAGGTGCTACTTTCGATAGGTTTGTACACCGAAAGTGTAAGACAAAGTGGTATTGCCACACATTTGTCACAATCCTGTTGATTATTGATTTTTCACAATCTTCCTGTTGTGAGGGATGGTTGTAAAGTTTGTAAAATATCTACAAATATTACCTCGTAACACGAAACACAACGACGAATCCGGTACCTTTCAGCTCTATTTCTCTGAAGAAAATATATTTTGCAGCCATATCAAACCTTCAAAGAATAAAATGTAATTTGCACTCAAATATTTGGTATTATGTTTTAAATCATCCATTAAATGGTATTTTAGAAGGGTAAGAAGTCCCTCCTTTAATCGACATATTTCCGATGAAATCCGCAACTAGGCAAGTAGTTCCTGATAGTCCTGGTGGTCACATCCAACATAATCCCATGCTAAGTTTTAGCCTGATTTAATTCCTGTGTTTTCACCGTCCCGCCCACGCAGCCATTCCCGTAAGATACGCTTAGTAGATAATTATTAAATCAGTAGGAAGTTGCGTCACTATTGCAAGATTTGTCATCAAATTTAAATTAATATAAATAATAAATTTCAAGACGTAAAGCAACCCTGAGCAGATTAAAGCGAACCAGAATGGCGATTATACTTAAATACAATATATGTAGATCTAGAGTATATGTATGTACTTATACATATACTCGTGAATAAATATGAAGGTAGGGATATTGTATAGGAACAGCTATTTGACAGGATATTTCAAAAAAAATAACAAATTTCCTAATCTATAATCCAATTTTAGCAAATGTATCTATGGCTTATTAAAAATGGTAGAAATTTAAACAAGAAATAACATCGACGATTGAATCCACTATTATAATCCTCTTCCTTCGTAATCTGAGTGTCGAATAGGTTCCCGACGCTACTGCTCCTGCTCTTTGCCCGTGAATTATTTACTCCCCCATTTGGATTGAAAAACTTTCTTGAACATTGTTGTCATAATGATAGCGTAACTGTTAAAATACAGACATTCTTTTACCATATTAATTCCGACAATTATGTACGTATTAATTAATTTTCGACTTGCAAGAGAAACTTAATCCCTTCGTTGTAGTTGATTAACCAAAATAATTATTGTAATGGCATGCATCTTGTATTTTTGCATTAAATGACGCAAAACCTAGTTGTCTGTCAGACTTGCGAAGCATTACAAAAACCGGGGCAATGGTTTTATTACTTAAATTTTGGCCGGCCATCGCTAAGGTTGGTTAGGACAAAGGTGTCTGCGGTGGTGTAGGAGAGAATGATTCAATATAAAAAACAATTGAAAACAGTTTTGGTTGGTGCAGGTGAGCCGTTGATTTAGTTGAGCAGAAAGTATTTTGGTTTTATTGGGTTGGATAATAGATGATATGCCAAGTTCGTGTTTGACATTACAATTTGCAAA